TACATTACCAAGTTCTAAGGTTGAAAACAAAATCTCAAAGGTTAGGAAAAATTTGATAGGAATAACGGTTAATCGACATTTCGAAATAAAATTAAACTGACGAATTTCAAAAAGATACTTAAATTCTAAAATTCTAATATTCGAACGGTTTAAATTCGATTTACGCGATTAAACTGAAATCGTCGAACGACGAACGTTTTATAATAAAATGATCGACTACTTACATATATAGTTTAAATACTAAATATTGACGACATCACAACTTACATAATAAATATAATCTCCTAATTAAAATTCGATAAATAAAGTAATTTAAGAAATTCTATAAATCGAACGGGTGTTACATTTTATTTCCATAGATAACATTAAATTTTCTTTAATCATGTATTCCTATTTTAATAGAATAATTAATTAATTCTACTATTTAAAGCTTGTGATTTGGCATTAATATGGGATTAGCATGTTAATTTCTTGATCTACATAAGCATCAAATTCAACACTAATTGTCATGTTCAGTTTCGAACCGTTAGATCAGCATATGTCGACACGAGTTTGTGTACACGTGTGATTTGACGGATTAGAATCCATAAATGCATGCAAAATTCGACCTAACTGCTTTGTACGCACGCGTATTTGGTGAATCGAATTCGGGTAAGGTCTAAACTTCCTTCCAAGGTAGTGTTTTAAAGCCACCACAAAATAGGTTTATCCAAACCATAGAGAGTGTAATAATTATATCCATTAATTAATGAGTAAATAAATAAGCACTAATTAGTTGTTGACAAAACATGAGATAATGACTTAACTAAAAGCACTTAGACACTAACCCACTAAACTCGGCAATAATTAGCAATTAACAAAGGGAACATGACATCAGCTCATATATACTACTACGAGGTTGTCTAGGTTAAATGCATTTAGGTGCTCAAACTTGGAATTTTCTTATGTTTTACTCCAAAGTAATTAATATTTTAATCAAAAAAGTTTGCCTTGTTGAGCGGTTCGAGCATGAATTCGAGTCGAGCTCAAGCCTATATTTTGCCGAGATACATGTTAAATTACCAAAACACTCCTTATATATGTTAGCATAGGTCCTTAATGGTAATTTTACATTTTCATTTAAAAATTTTCGAGCCGAGCTCGAGCATTTTGATTTCTAGTCGAGTTCGAGCTATTGTAATTTTTCATCGAGTCGAGCTCGAGCAGAAAAAAAAAAAAAATCAATCATACTTGATAAGTCCAATACTCGGCTCGGCTCGGCTCGTTTGCCGTCCTAGCCTTCAGGCACATTGATTCATAAAATAATGCCTAATAATAATATAAGCGTCCACAAAATTATGATTAAATTTGAACCACCACGGTGTGAATTTTTTTTATGTCCTATGCAGTGTGAATATAACTTAGTGGACTCTAATGAGTGATCATAGGAGTAATAATATCTTAAAATTAAGGTCAAAACACTTGCATTTTTTAAACCAAACAAATATTTTATTAAGTATTAATACACTCGAAGAGACAAAAAGACATGCAATTTGATCTGCAAATTTGTCGAACCAATAAACTCTATTGGGTGTGGTCCTAATAAAGATATTTGTGTCTTTTAAATGATTTTTTTTTTTTTGGGTACAGGGACCTTCCGGTTTTCGGATCCACATGGGAACTGACTAATTCGGAATTGAGCAGGGTAGGACTACAAGGTCGGCAAAGCTCTCCCTCAAGAGTTTTATTGTCACTATTAAGATAGGTAAAAATATAACAAGATAAAATAAAACAAAATAAATAAATAAAAAAAAAGCCCATCCTGCTTTTTATTATGAGACCAATACATACACATATAATTATTGCAAAAAATAAATTAAGTTGTTTGCATTCATAGAGAAAAGATTAAAACTATGCTGTGTAGTTTGAGGAATAATTATCTAAAACTGATCTTCAATAGACCTGAAGTCACTGAAAATATACATATCTAATAGAAAGAAAGTTCACAATTTCACATGTAACATACTAAAACAAAAATACTAAAAATTTCACAACAATCCAAGCTCCAATTTACTCTTATACATTCACCTAAAAACTCTTATCTCCTCCTATGACGATGAATTCCATTTTTACCCTTGGAACCCTTCTGCGAGAATTTCGAACTCCGATTCACGCGGATATGATCGTGTAGCGAATCATGACGTAATTCGATACTATGCTTCACACCCCTTTTCCCGTGCAAGTGACCCGAAAAAAGCTCCACTCGTGCCCTATGATTGGTCGGCCTTAAAGACCTCCTCAAATGCTCGTCTTTATAATTTCTCCTTCGACTAAAACGTGATCCTCTGTGGTCAAAATGCCTATCAATAGACTTATCTTCTAATTCGTATTCATCATCCTCACTAGAGATATATGGGCTCGTTTGCCCATCAAATTCTTCAATGTCCTTATTTCTCCTCCTCCTCCTCCTTTTGCGCGACCTCCTTATCGTTCGTAACTTGTAACATAAACACGAGCAGCAAAAATCGAACGAGGAGAAACAAGTGGAAAAACAAGCCCACGTGATTCTAAAGATCGTGCAGCAAACGCATTGGCAGATTCCGAGATTGTACAATAGGTATAAGAATAAGAGCACTGCATATTATTTAGTGAGGTATTATCAATTCAAAAGGAAACTAAGCGCGAAAAATTCGGCAAGAAATTGCTTGAAATCTATGAAAACTCACCGAAATACACCAACATTGCCACCATAACAAATTTGAGCAACTGAGCAACACAGAAATTTTCGACGTAACAGATGAAATCCCATGTTGGAGCACATACAGAGCTGTGCCAAAACGAAATAAAATAAAATAAAATAAGTCAAAGCTCAATCATACTAGTAATACAGTTTTTCTATGGAGTCATGTTCGAGTTATTAAGCCATCCACAATTATTCACAAATCGTGTATTGACACGTGTCCTACAATAAATAAGACAGGTGTCAATACATTAAGTGATTGATAGCTCCATAAGAAAACCATTCGATGCTTCCATAGAATTTTTGACGAACAATAAGTAATAAGCATAGATCATCATCAATATTCAAAACAAACCAGAGGTGCAATTTATTAAGCGCTGAATCAAGATGGAATGTGAAGAAATTGAACCAAAAACCCAATTATTAAAAAAATTATAATGGAGATGCAAACTTTACTTGCAGGATTTTCCGGACAGGAACTCGAGAGGATGGCCGAGGACTTTGTCGACGGCTCGACCCAACCCGGAAAACAACGAACCGACCGAATTCCCCATGGATGAATGATAACTGCTTTACGTCCAAAATTTCGTCATATTTTGGAAATTTTTATTAAGGTTTGATTGAAAGAAATACAGGAAAATATAAATGAAATTTACCTTTTACTTTTGAGCGAGATTTACTTCAAATATTTCAAAGAAGAAAATGGCGGGGGTCATCTCCCTTCACTTTGCAACTGTCTCCGTGGGATTTGTGTAATTATTTCTGTAAGGCCAAGCCCAAGCCCAAGCCCATTAGGGTATGATTGGGCCATACCAATTTTCATATTTTTTTTCCCTTTTTTTTGTCGGTATGTTGGTCGTCAACAACAACAACAATAATAATAATAATTAAAAAACAATAATAATAATAATTAAAATTAGTATAAAACCAGTGTGCTACGAGTGTTTTGATAACATAATTTAGTGTACAAAAAAAATATTAATGTGTATATATTTTATTAAAATTGAAAATAATAAAGAGATAATAATTAATAATAAAGAACTTAATAAATTGATAATATTATTTTAAATTCGTAAAACTAACTTGCATACAACATGTATGATGTATGTAGGTTATTTATAATATTTTCATTTAAAATAGATAAATAATAATGTGGTCAGAGGACAAAATTTGGAAAAGTGGAATAATATGCGTGTTGTAGAAATAAGGGATAAATAGATTTAAATGAAATAATTTTAATATAGTAACTATTTGTAGTTTATGGCAATCCAAGCCTGATGTGGGATATTATTAATACGGCCCTAAATCGACCTTTTGTTGACTCGGTCCTAATAGAAGGCATGTCAACTAGACCGGCTCGAAGCGAACTTCTTGATAGATCGAGGAAAGCCCGTGAAGAAATAATGGGCAACTATATTAGTGGAGCGTGAGGGGCAAAGGTTTCCGAGACAGGGGGAACGTGGCCGTAGCCTGTCCTTTACACATGGCACTTGATGACAGGATTGGGACTTCTGAGCCCGGAATTAGTCCATGCCCTGGAGGTGCGGGATTCAGGTAAAGTTCCGTTGAATTATAAAAGCAGAAAGGAAGGAAGAAGAGGTAAGGTTTTTTTCTTTTGGAGAAAGCAAAAAAGCATCAGCAGTATTTCTTCTCTAAATTAGGTTTTGAGACTGATACTCTTGAAATTACTAACTTGACCGTTGGAGGACCAAGCCGGAGATTCTTCCTCTCCGGTCTAGGCTTCTTTGCAGGGATTGAAGATGATTGATCGGTACGAAAAGCGAGAACTCGGGGATTCTAATCGATCTGAGGTATTATTATCATACCAAAGCCTAAATTATTTTATATTAAAAGTTAGTAAATTTTATTCGAACCATATTACACGTTATTTTGCCACATAAAATTATAAAAACATTTGAAGTTGTCATTTAAGTTTAGGGCATTCTAAAATCATAGATAATTAAGGACTCTTATTCAGCTGTGGAATATATATGAGAAATAAAATTTAATAAGTTTAACATAGGAACTGGCATTTAAGTTAAACGCCTTCTAACATCATATATAACGACGCAACATTTGATCATAGAAGATTTTATTTTGTACTCGACTAAAAACTACACAATAAAATAATGATGTTATTAAATTGTTGAAGATTTTTTTTTTTTTTTTTTTTTTTTTTTT